TAATCTTTTTATGCTATTGTAGTAGTGCCTCCTTTAAATATGGAGAAAATTTCTTGTTGACAAAATATGAATTTTTTATACTGTTAAGCCTCAACACTGTTAGATTTCGAATATAGTTTCTCAGCAGATATATCTTGTATTTGTATTTACAGAACATACATATGCCACAGTAACAATATTTGAAAGTTTAATCCTTTAAAATATTTACATTGGGTTTTCAACATCCATAATGGAAAGGCTTTGTAAATTGAAATAAAAAGGTGAGGCATAAAGAGAAGGAACAAGTAGTTTATGTGAAGAGCAGGGTATTTTTAGTAGATGCATTTCTATCATGTAATCATAGGCAGGTAAGTATGCATTTCCTGAATATATCTTTGGCACTCTCATCTTAACATACTTCCGTCTTTGATATTCTTGAAAAATTAAATTAAGGCTCAAAGGAATTAAATTCAATCCACAATTACCAAGTTATTTTAAATTACTGAAAACATGTAATCCTTTGAAAACTTACTTCCAAGCATTTAGCTTAGACATAGTGTTACTGACCCCATTCTTGCATAAAACCAGCCCTCTTGAATGCCTACATCATTGCTCTGTTACTTGCATGGGTATAGGTATGTATGTGTGTATATACAGGTATACAAAAGTATGTTCTGTGCATATGTATTTGAAATATATGTATTTGCATAATTAGTGTATTTGCACATTTCTTTGTTCAGAGTGTCAGATAAGCAACTTCATGCAGGCATAGATGCAGAAGTAGACTAGATGGGGCTAGTCTAAAGAAGTAAATAATGGGGACTGCCCAGCATGCCTTTTACAGGTACACTGAAAATTTTTCTTTGTGTCTCTGAAAACAGATTTAATTCCTTTATTTTCTACAATTCAGTAGAGAGAAACCAAAAGCATTACAAAAAATAGTTATGTATAGCGATTTATATAAATGGATCTATTGATGCCATTTATAAGCAAGGAGGGCACAAGAGTACATTGATACATCGCTAAGGAAGCCTGAGCTGGAATCACTTGATCTTCCTGGGTTACTGAATACTTCCCCCTTGCATTCTGTTAGCTTGTGGATGTGCAAGGCAAGACTTCCTCTCTTTCTTCTTATTTATGAGGAGAAACAGAAGCCCTCCCAGTGCTAGTCATTCTGACCTCATGATCTAAGGTGTAAACTCACCAGCAGAAAACTTCAGTGATTCCTGTATTTATCTGTGCTGATGTGTTCTGCTTAATCTATTTGAAAAATACAGTTTTTCCCCCCTTGATTAGCCACATGCAACACAGAAAGGAATAGTATACAGAGAAAAGTGTTTAAGTGATTTACATCAGGTTCACACAGTATGTCACCTATATTATTTGTATGTCAGCATATGCTGAAAATATATTTATTTTTAATTATCTACATCCAGATGTTATTATTGGCTTGACAAATTTTGGTGGCTACCCTAAAGATTACAAAGGTGATGGCATTTTGTTCTAAACCTGTGCTTTCTTTTAAATATGAATAGTATACTAAAATCAGGCTTTCTGGAAACTTAAATTCATCTTTTTATGGTTAAGTGAACTCTAAGCAAAATGTAGGTGGTGGTATAATGGGTTGGTTCAAATAATTCCAATATCCTTTTAAAATGCTGATTTTATTTAATGTTACAAGATATATCAGACTGAAATAAAACATATGCCACATCTTGTTGGGATTCAAGAGGTGGGGACGACTTGGAAGCCTCACTGATGACCACAAGCTGATTTATTTGGCCCAACATGGCATTTATACAGGACCTCTTAAGACTACAATCATCCAATGACCTTAAACATTGTCTTATATGGTAACATACTTTTCTTGCTTAACCAATAACATCAGAGTTCACCCTATATGGATATCCTTACCTTTTCTTTACCTGAATTACTGTTTGCTGAACTCTGCACTGGTCATGTGCTAACACTTCCTGCTCCTTTTGTCCTGTGTTTCATCTAATATCCTGTTTCCACAACCCGTATCCACAACCTCTGAATTTGATTTTTTTTTTCCTAAGAGCTGTGTTACTAATGATTTGAAACAACAGAAGTGTGCAAGTTGGCTGTTCAATTGGTAAACCTTGCATTTTGGAAGTAGTTCCTGATGGTAATTTTATTCATATTCACATTACTTTAACTGGCTAGTTGGATTTGTATCAATTACTATTGCCAGAACAATTGTCACATAGTTTTGATATGCTAATAAAAACATCTATTTTGGACAAAATTTTTGCTAGTAAATGTTGACTTTTTCCACTTAAATACAAACAGCTAGTTTCTCATCCCATTTAGAACATGTGTTAAACATGTGTTTCCGCCTTCTTCCTTACAGTCTAGTAGTCTAAACAACTATATTGTTTCCAGACTTAAAGCATAAAACTGGAAAAATTTCTCAATTAATAAGGGACCAGATGTTGGTCAAGCTAATTTTATAGATATTTAATTAATGGATGCTGTTAAGTGAATACACATCACTGGATCTGCATAAATGCCTTAAAAATATATTACTTTTAGATAAAAGGAAAATGTATTTATAAACCTCTTATAAAGTGAACACTAAAGAATGTCCAAACTGCTTGATAGTGAAGATTTTTACCAATGCTATTTTTTAAGATTCAATGAAATATGCTGACAAGTATGAAATAATTATGTTTTAAAATAATCTGCTGGTTTATTGTTAAACTTGCATTAGTGAAGACTACTAGATTTCTGTGTGATGCCTCCAGCAATAACTGCTTTGAATGTACTTAATTTAGCATTTTCGGTTGTTGTCCTTGTCTTAGGCTAAGACAATTTTATGGTGCAAAGACTCTGAAATTTACCTCCCTTCTCCCTGTCTACCGATAAGGACAGACAGACAAATGCAAAAAAGATATAAGTTAAAAAAAAAAAAAAGTTTTACTAAAAGAAAACAGCAACAACATAGAATACAACAAAAATCCCTGGATACACAGGTGCTGGATCAACTGGAGGACAAAGAAAACAAGATGGCTGCCACCCAGGCAGCTCATGTGCCCCAGGGGACAAACACAAGATGGTAGAGAGGCTCTCCTGGCTAAATCTTCCCCTCTGGAAGAAAACTTTTGTATTTGTTCAGAGGGAGACTTCCAAACTAAACTCCTGACACATGGTACAAGACAGCACAGGCTTTCATGCTGAGGATAGTAGATATACTATGGAGGAGTTCCAAAAGGAGGCAAAAACCTGGTGGCTCTCTGGCATTGACCCCCTTTCCACAGTAGACAAACAGCTGGGCTGGAGCCTCTTGGTGTGTTTTTTCTCAGTGGCTCAGCTCCCCAGTCACCCTGTTAAACACCATTCACTGGGGATGCTTGCAAAAGTGACTGCACTGAAGGGTCATACAGCCAGATTTTATATCATAAACCAGAGAAGGAAGCAGACAGAGCAATTAATGTACATAGTACGTAATGCTAATATACACATAAGGTTGAGTATGACAGCAGTCACATATGAGTGGAGCAATAGGAAGCTAATCATGGCAAAACCTTGATCATAGGCATTCAGTGCTTGTAATTTTATTCATAGTATGCTTTCCTTGTTCTGAGACTCCTTCAGGCAGTAATATGGGTTGTCAGATTCAGTTTTCAAGGTAAAGGTGTGAAATATATGTGCTAATCTATGTATGTTAATTGAACATATTTTTTCCTAATTGTTTTTTTAACTATGAGATTTTGCTATAAAGCACTTGCTCCTTCTGGTTTTAGTAAGCTTAAAAATAGATACAAAGAATACAGCATGCTCTATTGCCAAAATTAGCTGTTCTCTTCTTCCAAATATAAGGAATGAAATATAGTAGTTCTACAATTCTGTATTGTATTTGATTTATTCATCAGTCTAGACTTATATATGGCTTCTGATTTTTGCAGTATGAATGAGGACCTAAGAAGTGAGGGAACAGGACTAAAGTATTGCTCCTGACAGTTTCCTAAAGGCAGTTCTTGTTCAGCTGATTTTTTACATCTCCTACTTTTCTGCTTCATTCTATGGCTCATATATAACCTGTTAGTTTTAATACTTGACAATGTGATTTCTAGTTTTACTATTGGTGTTTTACCTTTTGTCTTCAGGTGGTCTGAACAGGGAGCCTGCACTTTTTATTATCTACTTAGAACAGAATGAGATTAATATTAAATGGATATCAAACTCTTAAATATCCACAGAATTTGTAAAAGAAGTGACCATTGTGTAGGCATAATTGGAGTGATACAAAGTTTTCCTGACTATGTATCAGCACTATCTTTGTATTTATTATTCTGATTTTCTTTAACAGAATATTGCATGACTTTTAAGGTTTTGTATTTGACTACTACTAAAAAAAAAAAAAAGCATCTTCATGGTCTTTCACTTTTACGGTTTTAGTGGCATTAGCTCTTAATCCTAAACTAGAAATGAGTATTCACATGGGGAAGGAAGAATCTGATGTCATCTGATTTTGGTTACATCATTATACTTGATGGTTAAAGAAGCAAATGAGTCAGTCAGATTTGTAGTATTTTGTAAAATAGTACCGTCAATGCCAGAGAATTATGACAACTCGCATTAAATATTTGAGTTGGACTTCAGGTGGTGACATTTCACTGCACATTTAAGAGTATTGAGAGCATCTGCTTAACTTCGAAAATGTGTGTTAGCTCTTCCACTTTTTCTCTGCAAGTTTTACAAGGCTTCCACCTCTACTAATGTGTGTGTGACACATTAAATGGAAAAAAAAAAGTACTGTTGCAGTAAATATAAATAAGATTTTGTAGTAGCTTTGACAATTTGTGTCAATTGCCTCATGTCCATGCCAAGTTCTGTGTGGCAAGGTTTTTGGGCGTTGTATTTTGCGTGATCTCAACCAGTGTAACCATGGCTGGGGGAGGGCAATGAATTAATAAAAACAAGTTCTGTATTTTTTACTCATTCTAAAGACTAGTTTTAAAAAACATTAAGAATTAATAAAATGTTTTTTCTTTGAGGTGGGAGATGAAAGAAGATGCAGATCTTGAAGATGAGGAGAACATTATGGTGGAACACTTAAAAAACGTTTATTTGACACAAAGGACTTTTTCAGAGGATAAAGAAGAACAATTACCTTGACAGATTTCAGGTAGCACCCTTCTTCTAGATTCAACAAGATTAACTTAATATCATAACTCACAGTACTAGAAAGCTCAGAAATATGTATCTTGAGTAGGACTTCAACCTAAAGAGTGTTCCCTTGTTATTGTGTGGTCACTCTATCCAGGAAGCAATGTTCACACATGCATAAGGTGGAACAGTACAGGAAAATGTCAAGGAGGTTATATCTCAGTACTGCAGACACATAAACCTGAATGACAAACTGAGAATTGTTTCAAAAATATAAGACTCACTCTGAACATGCAGTTTTAGACATAGGCTAAGCAAATGTTTCTGGTTTCCATCCACCACTTTGGAGCTGGAGTCAGCCTGCCCCCAGTTTGTGTCACTCAAGGACCTTTTCCCTCCTTTGGTGCTTGTTTATTAAATTACCCAAAATACATGAAAAGGGAAAGGTATAGACCATATAGCTACAGTCCTTTTTGAGTTGCTCCAGGATGAGTATGCTCGGCCATTATTCCAAATCAAAAATGCATCAGCATTACTGCCTTCACAAATCCTTACTTAACCGCCAGTGTATTTTATGGCTTAAAAAATATAGAGAGAAATTTTAGAAGTTTTGAGAAGCATTTTTTTAATTTAAAATAATTATTTGCAGGCAGTGCTCACAGGATTATCTTAAAAGTGAATTGAGAAAATAATAAATAATTTATTTTTAAAAATAAATATAGTAAAATTTCATATTCAAAGTAATCCTGTTTTGATATTTAAAAATTATGAATATGATATATTTTTCTGAAAAAATAATATTTAATATTATTAAATATTTTTCTTACACACTGATTAAAACTATCAACATTTTTTATATGGAAGGTCTGATTAGTATCTCTTTAGCTCTACAGAAATAATACATAATTTTTCTGTAAGTTTCTTTCTTTAGAAGTCCAATGGAACTACTTTTTCTGCCTGATGAAGGACTCTGGCAGGATCTTGCTAAAGGTGCAATCTGAGCAGAGTTGTGTTCCCACCACATCTTCACACAGATGCTATTATGGACATAACTTAGACCACTTCAGTAGGATGAAGGCATGCTTTTTGCCCCTGAAGGTTTCAGCAGCTGATTTAGGGTCTTATCTGAAATGCAGTTTTTTCTCCTCTTAATTGCTCTTTTTTCTTTTCATATAAAGCATCAGACCATTTAAAATCAAAATGTGGAAAATTGCGTCTTACAAATCTCCAAAGATCCTCTTACAACACTGCAATACAAAAGGGCTGTGAGGCACTGTAGCTTAGAAAATGCTAAAAACATTATTTAAAAAATAAAGCAGATATTTTCCTCTGCTGCCAGTGTAGTAATTTCACATTATAAAGGAAGTGATGAAGTGTGAAAACCATTTATCGTTGCTTGGTATTTCACCTTTAAAGATTACTGGTGGACTTCAGGTTTAAAACATGTCTACAGGGATCTTCCATGACAGCAGGTTTGGTATTTTGACAAATGAGGCACACATATTCCAAGCCATACAAATAATGTGTTAGTGCACATGGAAACTGGAGTTCAGAATATTCTCTCCTATTTTATCAAAATATCATACATAATTTACTTTTTGTATAGTCATATAAAGTGCCTATGTGGTGAAACTGATTGAAATACTTATTGTGAAAATGCTCCCCTTCTGGGAAATACCTACTCTGAAGAGGATAAATTTTGCAAGTGAATAAGCTAATTGAGAATAAAACCCATCACTTACACTTAAGTGGGAATATCCATACAGTCATTCCCCTGGTCCTGTTGACCACACAATTTCGGATAAAGGCCAAGATACCATTGGCCTTCTTGGCTACTTGGGCAAACTCTGGCTCGTGGTCAGCTAGTTGTTGACTAGCAACTTTTCTTCTGTGTCACTTTCCAGTTACTCTGCCCCGCACCTATGGCATTGATTTGAGTTGTTGTGATGCAAGTGCAAGTGTTGATCCTCATTCCACTGGCCTCAGCCCACTGATCCATCTTCTCCAGATCCATTGTAAAGCCTTCCAACTCTCCAACAGGTCAACACTCCTGCTCAATTTGGTATCATCTGTAAACTGACTGAGGATGCCCTCTAGTCCCTGGACCAAATAATTGATAAAGATATTAAGTAGTATTGTTTCCAATACTGAGCCTTGGGGAATGCCACTTATGACTGACCAATGACTAACATGCATAAGAATATAACAGCATAAAAGCTGAACCTTTGCACAGTATTTTACTGGATGCTTTTCCTATCCAAACCTGTATGTGCATCTTTTATGGCACCTGAGTGCAAGCAAATGTGTGTTTTAAATTGTACTTGACACACAATTCTTACTGAAAAATATCAGGGCCGAGAAATATCATACCAAGAAATACAAGATTATTCCTCTTTGGTCCTGCTGGCAATGTAACCATTCCAAATAACTTTTAGGGTATAAAAGGGACATCATCTTGGCAATATTACTTAATGCTGAATACACACTTCTACAACATTCATATTTATTCAATAAAATTACAGTAATAATAAGAATTGTACAACTAAGCTTGCTAAGTAACATGCCATTAGTTTATCAACACTTTGCTTTAAACTTAGACACTTACTTGAAAATTGAAAGAGCTGACCATTTTTCCATTGTGTAGATGTTTTCCACAGATGCTTGTGTGTAAAATTAGGAATACTTTTATAACTGTAAGACTGCTGCTTTCTTTTGCTTTTCTTCATAAAACAATAGTTCTATATTCTTAAAAAAAATTCTGCTGATTGTAATTTTGATTTATGATTAAATAAATTTTTAAGAATGATGCAATGTCTTGGTTCTTTGACACTATTTATTGATCCAGGAATGCCTCACATGTATGTTTAGCCTAAATAAATAAAAGCAACATAAGTCAGATTAGTTGGCTACAGTATGTGCCCCAAGTTTCATGACAACTGCAATCTGATTGTGTTAATTCCTCCTGAAAAGTTGGCCAAAAAAAAAACCAACTAAAGTCTGTTGTGTACAACAGACCTTTCTGAGTGGGCAAGAGCTGGCCTCACTGTCTCAAGTGAATTAGCTCAAAAGGAAGTTATTGTATTTATAGAAATTAATTGGATCAGATAGCACAAACTAGGTTAACTATTATCATTAATGCTCACATCTAATTATTATTTAACAATTTAATATACTTAGCTACTTTTACAAAACAGGCTTCAATGGGAGACTTCATGGCATGGAGCATCTCTGCTTAGGTTTGTGTAATGTCCCCTTCAGAATGCTCCAAATCTTAACATCTTTCATCTTTTGAAAGGTAAGTAATAAAATTAAAAGAAAGGCAAAATTGAAATAGCATTAATAATAATGAAACTCAAAAAGAGAAGAGAAAGAGATATTTTGGGAACAGTTTAACATTTAGACACAGTCCTGTTTTCTAGTGACTGCTGTCCTGACAGACTGCCACAGACCATGCTTTATTCTAGGAGGGGGAATATGATATGTATCTATGCTATTTGCTGAGGAAAAATGCACAATGGCAAATGGATGTTCTCTAATTCACCTTTACATCATCACAGCAGTGCATGGTAGACATGAGGCTGTCTTCTTCCAATTAGCTTCTGCTGGTAGAAATATTCCTTTTCCCTCTCAGCTGGAAGGTCTTCACAAAGTATTAGTGAGTCTTATGTACAGTGAAACATCAGTTATATGCTGTATAATATTATTTTATGGAGCTCCCTAAAAATATGTGCAATCATTTCTAGTGACAAACACTACTCACACTCCCAAGGCAACAGTTGAAAGACAGAGGAATTAGATCCATTGCCCAGTTAGCCATGAAATGAGAAAATAACTTGATGGTAACTGAGAGATTTCTAAGTGACTACATAGATCTTGAGGAGGTTCTTGTTGGAGGAAAGCCACTTTTCTGTAGCAATTTTCCATATTGTAAACAGTGTTATAAATGGAAGCAGAATCTCTAAAACTATTCTATGTGTAATGAGTAAAGGTGAGCTTGCTTTATCCTCTACCTTTGGACTCCATTTCCATTTGAAATGCAGACTAAACTAACTGACTTTGACAGGAAGGCAGTATAAGAAAAGCATGCAAGTCTTGAGCAGGTGGGGCTACAGGCCTTGCAATGTCCATCAGTAAATGATGGAGGAACCAGATTATTTCTCTTTAGCAGCATCATTTGAAAATTACCAATTGTTACCAATTATTGCAGCAAGTAAAACCATATGGTGCTGACAGAAAAACACTCTAAAATCTAAGGACTCATGCGAAGAAGTAAAAATAAATCCAAATACTTTTTTTCCCCCTAAAGAAAGTGATTCTATAACAATGTCTCAGGAAGAACTGGCAGTTACCAAATACTAATGAGTGAAGTGCTGACTGTATCTCTAAATTTAACAGACAACTATCCCAGCTAAACTGGCAAGAAGTCACCGAAATCATGGCTAGTACAAATTTCACTACTGAATGACATCCTTAATATCCATGACAGCTTCAGCCGTTAGTAGGTTGCAAGCATCTCTTAGAAGATACAATGTAATATGTCCTACTGAAAAAAGTGTCTGATAATTATACATTTTCTGCCTATGAGATAAAACTAACTAAAATACCTTTTGTGAAAAACCTCTTCTTCTGGAGAACTCTTATGAATAAGATACATTTTGCAAGTGAAACTATCTAATCCAGAATAAACCCCCTCACTTACTCTTACACATGAATATCCATACATGGAATTGTTCCAAATGGGCTGTTGTCCTTTAAATTCACATACCTTGTAATCTTTAAACAATCACACTGGGAAAAAAACCCAAACAACGAAAACACAAACAAACAAAAAGAAAAATTCAAAAAAACTCAAACACCAAAAAAAGAGGGGGGAAAAAAGGACACAACAAAACAAGACCTTTGTGTCCCATTCACTAGGTTTTCTCCCTGATGCATTAATTCAGCAGTAACCCACTGGGTGACAGTAGGACGTTTCTGTCTTTCCCCTTAGAAGCATCAAGTTTAATGATTAACCCAGCATTGCCAAGCCACATCTGCACATCTTTTCAGTCCCTCCAGGGCTGGTGCCTCCCCCATGATTACAGAGTTTATGCAGTAAATTGATCCAAGCTCCAAATGACAATAGTCTTGGTGTGTGCACTGCCCTGAGTTACGTCCATACTCTAGCTGGAAATAAGGCAAAAAACCACATAATCGTAATCATATTCAACAGCTTTTATTTTTTCCAGTTACTATGTCAAGCAGAATACCATGTCTGCCATGCCAAACACAGGTTTCAAACTTCACTGAAGATGGAGGTTTGCTGCAACAGCACATAACTTCCTTTTAGGGCAACTTTTTAGCAAAATGTAGCCATGATATTTTCTGAAAAATTGTTTTGCCAGGATTTTTCTCCTGAGAAGATGAGGAGCCTCAGGAAAGAAATGTAAACTATCTGCTGCTGTGGAATGCAACAGGTGCATCTGTGATTGGTGCATGGCCAATCACAGTCAGCTGGCTTGGACTCTCAGAGAGTCACGAGCTTTCGTTATCATTCCTCTCCTGTTCTTTCCAGCCTTCTGATGGATCCTTTTCTTTCTATTCTTTTTAGTATTGTTTTAGTAGAGCATTTTAATATTATATATAATATACATATATATATATATATATATATATAAATAATAAATCAGCCTTCTGAAACATGGAGTCAAGATTCTCATCTCTTCCCTTGTAGCAGCCTCGAACACCACCATAGAAAAATAATATTTTTCAGCTCTCCTAGTAAGTACAAGCACTCAGTCATTAGAAAATACCTGATGAATGATTAGCAAACCCAGGAATGTTCTTTACAATACCTGTTAATGACATGCTTATGTATATTCTGTCCCTAGATTAATTCACTAGAGAATGGAATATGATTATACAAGCAACTTTGATAAACTTGTGATTGCCTAATATCCAATAATTGTATCATTTTGTCCCATAATTTGTGTTTTTTGAGGTAAAAAGTCAGTAACTTTTGAGTATTTGGCTTCCATAAAGAAATAGGGTCACCTAGTTCTTCATGGATCAGATTGACTGGGTTTTTTTTCCACCTCAATACTGCCTTACTGGCATCCTTGACAAACTTACTGGTTTATTAATATTGCTGTAATTCACAATATGAGTACTCCTGCTACTCAGTTATACATGGACCAATATTTAATCTTCTTAATTGTTATATAGACCTAAAGCTGCGTGGGTCCTACACGGATAATAATTTCAGGTTTAGGAACTGAACACTTCTGCTCCTAATGTTCCATGTGAATCTATGTTCTTGCATTGTTCGAAGCTACCTTTATTATCTGGGATAGTGGCAGCTGTGCTGCTAGTGAGTTGTATTTTTTACTTAGACTAATGTATTTTGTCTCAGGTTTTATTTTCCTTAATTTCTCTGAACTTTAAATTCACCATTGGAAATCAATAGCACATCTGTTTTGACAATATGCAAATATGTAAATACTAATCAGTAAAGCCTAGGCCTTCTCAAACTTGATACAGGGTCTTAGAGAACCAAGAATTCAATAAATGTAAAATTGAGACCAACCACCTGCAAGGTGATCATTCAAGAAATGCAGTAGTCATTTTCACTTGGATATTAACCTGTCTGTAAAATTCAGAAATATAATATTTAACGAGTTGTTTGGTAATGTACAGGATACTTCTTATATGTGTGTGTGTATATATATATATATATATTTTCCATATAATTAACATGTCTTAAATGGATTTTATTATGTAGATTAACATTATGCTTTTTCTCTAGAAAATGGACAAACATTGGGGAAATAAGAGGTTGAAATCACAGGTGGCTTTGGGAATTCGGTTTGCAGGAATCCTATCTGCAGGTATGGATTAACTTCAGGAAATTAATGGCCAAACAAGTGCTGTGAAGACTTTGTTTTCAAAGGCAAATGGGTTAGATCTCTTCAAACAACAATAAATTTCAGTTAGGCCTCCCAAATTTCACACATGCCCTTCCACTTTATGAATTAAGAAACTGAGAGAGGTTGTTGCACTAATGCCATGCAAATGTGTAATATTAGTCATCTAGCCTCCTTTAACCAGAACATGGCAGACTGTTCTTTATTTCCAAGAGCTGTGCTGAGTCTGTATAATTAGTGGCTGTAACACCATCAGACTTTGGTACCAGCACACAGATAACTCCACTGTAAGGTGCACCTCCATCAAAAGGCGCCTTTAAGTACATAACAGAAAAGGCACATGTATTTGCTTTTCCATTTCCTGTGTACACAAATATTTAGATGGCAGTTGTACAAATTTTTTAAAAAGTTATATAATACCCTGAAGCAATCATCTGCTCTAAAATGCGTAATTTATTCAAAAATCTTTTGTGGAGTTGAGGGATTGATAGTTTAGAACAGAAAAATTATAGGTATGCTGAGTACATTCTTGCAAAAATAAATAATGTTATAGTGAGATCAAGTATTTCAAAATTCAAAGTACATTAAATTGTTTGCACATATAAGAGCAGTGAAATAACTTTGCAAGGTTTGCATCATAAACCCATATATCTACAGAGTAAATAGTAGAACACAGACCATAAAGTTCTGTCATGAGTGTTGCTTTCAATTTCTGTTCCATTCCACTAAAACTTTTCATATCAGTCTGGCATTTTTTTAACAACCATATACAGCACCAAAGAATTATGAGTGGTAACTTAAAATATATATCATATAGATTTAATCTTTACAACAAATGCAAAAGCAGTAAGTGAAAAACAAAGACATAAAAGACTGTAAAAACTCTTGAGA